AAAAAAAAATGTTTGTTCCAACAGTAGCAATGTCCCAGACAACAGACTCGATTAGTTTCTTGCTTCCAATTCTACGGCCAAACCTTTACTTTGCTTCCTTGACCCTTTTAGCATGAGCAATCTTTTGTTCGGGGAACCATGCAATAGCTGAATAAACATTCTGTGGTCGTTGATGGAGTCCTTTATGTTTCTTATAGTATTTGTTATAACTTAGTACTTTATTATTTTTCTTTTAATTCCTTTCATCTTACTGTCATGGTATGTTTATTAATTAACATAATGATGCTCGACAATTCAAAACGTAAATGAATATAGCGTGGTTGCCGTGACAAGTGGAAATGAGAATGATCAGAGCTAAACTGCGCTGCATCGTCAAGAAATTAATTTTTTTTTTTTCAACGTCACTTCAATATTGTTTACTTGTTAGAACCGCTCAAGGTTAGGTTCGTGTTTTTGGTATATTTCTGTACCTTAGAACCGCACAGAATTAATAAACGCTTTATCTAGTCTGTGTATTTTTCGATTATTCGAGAATTTTTTTATACTGCAGCGAGGCCAAAGGCCAACAGTTGTGAGTCAAATTCGAGGAGTATGACTGTGTGTGTAAATATAAACGAGTATCGTTTATTAGTTTTATGGGCACAGCAAAATTACAAACTCTGTAACTTATAAACGATCTCGTGTTTCGATTAGCACACAAACGACAAACATAATTTTCATAGGTAGTTTTCAGTTATGTTACAATAGAAACATTCTAGCTGGATAAGAGATAAATAAAGCGTCTCCTTTGAAAAAATGTTACATGGCAGAATCCTCCAAAAGGATTTGTCTGCGACAACTGCGTATTAACTTTGATAAATGTAATATAGAAGTTACCCCCTTCAACATTCACGACGCGCACCATTATTTCTTATCGATTTTTAATCTTGGTTCCCTTTTTGTGTAGTAATATTGTATCTCACCGCCCGCTGCCAACAGCCTCTTTTTCCGTAATTTATCTTATCTTTGATAAACGCATGGTCGATTACTCTTAGGCGCGCTGGCCGCTGGGCGTTCTGCTTGTTATTTGAAACCTCTGATTAAAGTTATAATTAATGACACTATTTATCTCAGCTTTGGATCAAACGTTATGTGAGTATGAATCAAACTCATGATATCCGGGGTATGAAAGCAATATAACATGGAATAATCCCTCACAACTACCCACAATCTACCCATGCTCCATCCTCAAGTTGAGTACTCGTCCACTGCAAACACTCAAAGTCTCTAATACAACAACTCCCTGGCTGTGCACCCAAGCCGTTTTTTCAAGATGAACCGATCGCTCCTTGATTGTTTTTTCTACCAAGATTTTGATGCAGATTAATGCTGCTGTCCATGTTCTAGAATTGTGGTGATTTTATGCAAATGTCATATTTTAGAATCGCTCCCATCACTGTGAATAACAGATCACATCGCCTCCCAGGGTTACACCAAATCGTATACACTCTACAAGTACTGCAGTAGACCTCCGTCCTATCTATTAGCGACACTTATTTGTAATAAACATAATCGCAGTCTTGTTTACGACAACTTCACCGGAAATATGCTACCAGTCGTAAGAGCATTAAGGTGTTTGTCTTTGTGAAGTTATCCGTCAACCACTAGAAGTAAGCAACTCGTAATACAATACAGTGTCTACAGTATACACAGTGTATACAATGTATAGCAATACAGTTTAATGTTTATACATAGTGTATACACAGTGTATACAATGTATTGCAATACAGTATACACTGCACAGTGTATTGTATACACAGTATATACACAGTGGTATTAGATTTAGAGACTGTATCCACATATAAACTGACTTGGTAACCGTCTACCAAGACAGAGACTAAAGTTTATTTCATTACTTCATTGCGCTTCCTTGCGTTTCATCTCGCGCAACCTGCTTCTCTTCGTCTTGTGGGAGAACTTCTGATACGCTGATTTGAATTCATTTTTAAGAAGATCAAAGCCACACTAAAGATAGCAGAAGGATCTATACACAGCTGCGTTTGCACCTGTATAGTTATACTATCTGATCTGTGGTGCTGTCCTCCTGCAAGAATCAGATTATCTCAGATAACAGAGCGCGTGTTAGCCGCTCAAATAATGGCATACGGGCGTACGTTTAAACTTTAATATTGATTCACACCAACATTTGTCCTTGCACAATCAGCTGCATGATCTAGTTTTAAGCACGTTACCACCCATGTCAAATTTGCTCTATATTTTATTGCATGGTTGGAACAATCAAACATAATTAACCGCTGTTAGACGCAATGAGACGCTGTAACCACCGGTGACAAGCACTTAATGAGCTGTAAATACCTATTGAGCTTAATTTAATTAATTAAAAATAGTTAATTAGAGCTTTCAATCATGGTTCGTCAGTAGAGTTTAATTATTGCTCTTGGAAGTTAGCCATGAATATACCTAGTTTTGTCTCCTCACATTTGGATTAGTGCTCAGTGACTCATCTAAAACAGTGGTGACCTTTTCTCACCCGACTAGTTAAGTTTTAGGTCACGTGTTTAAGTGTCTCGATACTCCTTAGTGCTCAATTTTGTGTTGGACAGTTTTGATAATGCTGTGGAAAAAATTTTTACATTGCAATGTAACCAATTTTTCCGAAAAATTTGGTTTAATTGCAATGTAACCAATTTTTCCACAGAGTCGCCATAATATGAAACCACCGACGCTTACCCACGCATTAGCCCCGACCCTTGATCACTCGACCATATGTTACCAGCAGAAGCTACCCCGAAACTGAGCAACTCGAGGTGGGGTTAACATATGTTAAACAGCCAAAGTAACCCAACGCATGTAGCCCCGACCCTTGAGTAACTCGACTGGTAACATATGTTAACCATCCGAAGCTACCCAACGCATGTAGCCCCGACCTTGAGTAACTCGACTGATTAACATATGTTAACCATCCCGGAAGCTACCAAGCATGTAACCCCGACCCTTGAACAACTCGACAGTTAACATATGTGTAACCACCGTAGCTACCCACGCATGTAGCCCCGACCCTTGGAGTAACTCGACTGGTTAACATATGTTTCACCAGCCTAAGCAAAGGAACAAATGTAATATAAGGAGTTTAACGACACATTATGAAAACATACAGAACATCGTTTCTTCTACATTAAGTTGAGGTGTTATACTGTAAAATTAAAACCCTGTCTGCTGTAATAAAGTTATAAGTTCAATTATATACGTAGCTCGCTGTAAAGCCTCCCCATCATTAGCCAACTATATTACATAAGCGACTTTTAGTGTGATGGGGATCATGACTCTTTATTTACCGTTAATTATAGTGTTAATTATAGTTTTACCGTACTAAATACTACTTTTCAATGCTCACTAATGACCTAGTCTCTAAGATCACTGAAAATGACACGTTCTTTAAAATGTTAATTTATTACTCTTCTCCGGGGACAACTCAAAATAACATCATCTCCACATTCTGTTGTTTTGAAGTTTTAAGAATGTAGTAAAGTATGTATATTGTACGTACTTTTCCATTGTAAGTACGGCACTCATTAGTAAAGCTGAGTTACCTGATACTGTAATAAGTAGTGATATTTGTGGTATAAAGTAGAACACATAATATATTATAACTTATTACATTACTTACTTATAATAAGTAGTGATATTAGTGGTATAAAGTAGAACGCATAATATATTATAACTTATTACATTACTTACTTATAATAAGTAGTGATATTAGTGGTATAAAGTAGAACGCATAATATCTTATAACTTATTACATTACTTACTTAATAGTAATTCTACATACAATAGTAGTGATATTAGTGGTACAGAGTAGAACACATAATATCTTATAACTTATTGCATTACTTAATAGTAATTCTACATACAATAGTAGTGATATTAGTGGTATAAAGTAGAACGCATAATATCTTATAACTTATTACATTACTTACTTAATAGTAATTCTACATACAATAGTAGTGATATTAGTGGTACAGAGTAGAACGCATAATATCTTATAACTTATTACATTAATACTTAATAGTAATTCTACATACAATAGTAGTGATATTAGTGGTACAAAGTAGAACGCATAATATATTATAACTTATTACATAACTTACTTATAATAAGTAGTGATATTAGTGGTATAAAGTAGAACGCATAATATCTTATAACTTATTACATTACTTACTTAATAGTAATTCTACATACAATAGTAGTGATATTAGTGGTATAAAGTAGAACGCATAATATCTTATAACTTATTACATTACTTACTTAATAGTAATTCTACATACAATAGTAGTGATATTAGTGGTATAAAGTAGAACGCATAATATCTTATAACTTATTACATTACTTACTTAATAGTAATTAGATACATTGTACAGTACTGTAATAAGTAGTGATATTAGTGGTACAAAGTAGAACGCATAATATCTTATAACTTATTGCATTACTTACTTAATAGTAATTAGATACATTGTACAGTACTGTAATAAGTAGTGATATTAGTGGTACAAAGTAGAACACATAATATCTTATAACTTATTACATTACTTACTTAATAGTAATTAGATACATTGTACAGTACTGTAATAAGTAGTGATATTAGTGGTACAAAGTAGAACACATAATATCTTATAACTTATTGCATTACTTAATAGTAATTCTACATTGTACAGTACTTAACAGTAATTATACATACATAATAAACTAACATACGTTATAAACTAACTAAATATAACGCATAATATCTTACAATTTATTGTACTAAATTTTTACAGTAATTCTACATTATTTTACAGTAATTCTACATACTTAATAAACTAACTTTAAGATGTTTGACCAGGCTGGTTTATTCCCTCTAACGACCCCACCTGGCTGAGCTCAGCAACAACAATATAACTAACTAGTAACTGTATCTCGTTTCAGCAACAACAATATAACCAACTGTATCTTGTTTCAGGCAAGTAGAACTGCTATAAAAGCTCGCAATATGGAGAGGCGAGTACAGACTCTAGCAGATACAATCTCCCAGAGACAACACTATGTCTATAAAACTGGTAAATTCTTCATAATATTCTCTCAATACTAACCGTATAAAACTGGTAAATTCTTCATAATATTCTCTCAATACTAACCGTATAAAACTGGTAAATTATTCATAATATTCTCTTAGTACTAACCGTATAAAACTGGTAAATTATTCATAATATTCTCTTAATACTAACCGTATAAAACTGGTAAATTCTTCATAATATTCTCTCAATACTAACCGTATAAAACTGGTAAATTATTCATAATATTCTCTCAATACTAACTAAAAAACTCACCTGTTTAAGAAAAGTTATGGCTTGAGCGATTAATTGACAATATAACTTTATGTTATTTGCTTAAACTGTTTAGGATGCAACCTAATGTCATGATCTTTTTGAACTTATTAGCAATTAGACTGTTAGCTCGCTTCATAAGCATGTCATCTTCGTTCCAAAACTTTTTATGTCCTATGCATACACTCCTGGATAGTTATCTTGATCAAGTATCTTTGTTGTTTCACACAATAGAGCATAAGTTTTGTGGTTTATCCACTGGGCTTAGAGTTTGTGTTTAAGCTACCAAATTTTATTATTATTATTATTATAAAACTGGTAAATAATTCATAATATTCTCTTAATACTAACTGTATAAAACTGGTAAATAATTCATAATATTCTCTCAATACTAACCGTATTAAACTGGTAAATTATTCATAATATTCTCTCAATACTAACCGTATAAAACTGGTAAATTATTCATAATATTCTCTCAATTATACTAACTGTATAAAACTGGTAAATTATTCATAAAATTCTCTCAATACTAACCGTATAAAACTGGTAAATTATTCATAATATTCTCTCAATACTAACCGTATTAAACTGGTAAATTATTCATAAAATTCTCTCAATACTAACCGTATAAAACTGGTAAATTATTCATAATATTCTCTCAATTATACTAACTGTATAAAACTGGTAAATTATTCATAAAATTCTCTCAATACTAACCGTATAAAACTGGTAAATTATTCATAATATTCTCTCAATACTAACCGTATAAAACTGGTAAATTATTCATAATATTCTCCCAATACTAACCGTATAAAACTGGTAAATTCTTCATAATATTCTCTCAATACTAACCGTATAAAACTGGTAAATTATTCATAATATTCTCTCAATACTAACCGTATAAAACAGGTAAATTATTCATAATATTCTCTCAATACTAACCGTATAAAACTGGTAAATTATTCATAATATTCTCCCAATACTAACCGTATAAAACTGGTAAATTATTCATAATATTCTCTTAATACTAACCGTATAAAACTGGTAAATTATTCATAATATTCTCTTAGTACTAACCGTATAAAACTGGTAAATTATTCATAATATTCTCTTAATACTAACCGTATAAAACTGGTAAATTCTTCATAATATTCTCTTAATACTAACTGTATAAAACTGGTAAATTATTCATAATATTCTCTCAATACTAACTGTATAAAACTGGTAAATTATTCATAATATTCTCTCAATACTAACTGTATAAAACTGGTAAATTATTCATAATATTCTCTCAATACTAACCGTATAAAACTGGTAAATTATTCATAATATTCTCTCAATACTAACTGTATAAAACTGGTAAATTATTCATAATATTCTCTCAATACTAACTGTATAAAACTGGTAAATTATTCATAATATTCTCTCGTTACTAACCGTATAAAACTGGTATATTATTCATAATATTCTCTCAATACTAACCGTATAAAACTGGTAAATTATTCATAATATTCTCTCAATACTAACCGTATAAAACTGGTAAATTATTCATAATATTCTCTTAATACTAACCGTATAAAACTGGTAAATTATTCATAATATTCTCTTAATACTAACCGTATAAAACTGGTAAATTATTCATAATATTCTCTTAATACTAACCGTATAAAACTCGTAATGACCATTAAATTTGTCAAATATTTCAAATTTTGTGTTTTATCCATTCAAGTTTAATGTGCCTAACCAAATTGAATTGTTTTACTTTTCTCCGTCTTAAATTAGATTTAATATTGATGGAAAATGTAAAATTGTGCGGTCTGCGTGTACTAAGCTTAGTAATTTTGAAATTATCCCCCAAGCTTTGAGATTTCTCAATATAATTATATTATATATATGTACTGCGGACATGTATTTTTAGTGTAAATATTTCAACAGAGGCTTGGAATCTAATTTGTGGCACGAGCTTGGTTTGCTTGATATGTGAGAAAATATGCTTAGATAAAATACATGGTATTAAGGTAAGCATCTAGCAGCTACCCTGTAGCCTCCTAGTAACCACCTAGTAACCACCTAGTAACCACCTAGTAACCACCTAGTAACCACCTAGTAACCACCTAGTTACCACCTAGTAACCACCTAGTAACCACCTAGTAACCACCTAGTAACCTCCTAGTAACCACCTAGTAACCACCTAGTAACCACCTAGTAACCAGGTCTAGTAACCACCTAGTAACCACCTTCTAACCACCTTGTAACCACCTAGTAACCACCTAGTAACCACCATACCTTGTAAAAGTAAACATCGTATCATGACATTTGATACAGCTCGACAGTGTCTGTACACAATGTACAATGTACATTGTACAGTGTATATTTGTGTTAAATTATCTCCCCAGTACAACTCTAGTTCCTATGACCTACATCATGTCGTTATCTTATAAATCAGGTAATGTGTAAGGCTTCACTGGCTCAACAAACACAGTGTCTTTAAACAAAGTGTGCTCCATTCTCTACTCTATTTACAAAGTAGTAGGATTGAATGTCCTGTATTTAGTAAATTTCTCGTGACAATGTTTGAAGCCGTGGGCTCATGAGGTAGCTTAAGTCATTTCAAGCTCTCAATCAAAACGTCTACATTGGACTCGTGTGTCACTGGAAGAAATTAAGAGTATAAGTTTTGTCTTATTCTGAGACGACACTGTCAGCTATTCATACACTGGAAACTATCTATACTATATTATATATATATTCTGACAAGTTTTCAGGTTTCTATTTTTAGTTCGAAAACAGTAAACATTTTACGCCCAATCTGAGCGTTGTGACCCACTGAGGCAAGTGGTAAAGTTCAGAATTGTCAAGATTGGCAACTGTGGCTCCAACCAATAGAGCAATAACATAACACGGTAGTAACCAGCTAGTAACCAGCTAGTAACCAACTAGGAACCACCTAGTAACCAGCTAGTAACCAACTAGGAACCACCCAGTAACCACCTAGTAACCACCTAGTAACCACGTCGTGATCACCTAGTAATCGCCTAGTAACCTCCTAGTAACCTCCTAGTTACCACATCGTCATCACCTAGTAACCACCCAGTAACCACCTAGTAACCACCTAGTAACCACCTAGTAACCACCTAGTAACCACCCAGTAACCACGTCGTAATCACCTAGTAACCACCCAGTAACCACCTAGTAACCACCTAGTAACCACATCCTCGTTCAGACTTAAACAACCACAACATGGAGGTGGGCAAGTTCAGACCTAACACAGTAGTGGACCAGAATGTGGTGATAAAGGACAACAGGACGCCCTGTGTAAAGGAGAGACACTCAGCTGCAGACCTCACTCCTGCTCTCATTGTAAGTTAATATACATTTACCAAACCCCCATTAACCAGGCTCCATTTACCAGGCCCCAATTTACCAGACCCCCATTTACCAGGCACCCATTTACCAGGCCCCCATTTACCAGGCCTCCATTTACCAGGCCACCATTTACCAGGCCCCCATTCACCAGGCCTCCATTTACCAGACCCCCAATTACCAGACCCCCAATTACCAGGCCCCCATTTGTGTGTTACATTGAGACCCTGGTTTAATGGAATTTCCTATCGAAACAATTTGGCAAAATCGTCTCCATGAAATTCCCGGTAAACCAGAGTTTTGCTGTAATGATAAGGGACTAATTATACTTCTTCCCGTCTGCAGTACCGTTGACCGAAAATATAATTTATTTCAATTTCAAAATTCCCTCATTTATGGAACTGTTTACGAGTGCTCGTAAATGTCATTCTGACAGGTTCAGTAATTACCGTTTTTGAATGTAAGGCTTGCTGTATGAGGTCACAATGTAACAGTAGTAGATACTAGTAGTAGATTTAGCGAGATGTTAACAGTAAATGATGGTGATTTGCGCTGTAATTAGCAGTTTTACTAATTAATTAATAAACCGGGACGGTTAGCTTAGTGCTGGAGAGTGGAGCTGCATTTAAACTCACATTATAATGCCCAGTTCTGCGAATCCTTTCAACTTTAATGGCCATTTTAGGGATAATTCGACTGTGCAATCTTGAATCTCATAAGTCAAAGTTAAATGCTCGATACCTATACTGGTAAACTGCTTGAAGTGTAGTCATTCTCTGAATCTCTGCAGCTCAAAACTGGAATTCATATGATTTTACCGATAAATATAATGTATGGGGGGTGCATCAACAAATTGACGTCATGATTCGAAACTCAATGTTCTACACTTTAATGCAGTTGTAGGTAGTCGCCTTTGCAATTGGCTTATATAATTGGCTTATATAATTGGCTTATAATCGATATTAAAGTATGATTCCACAGAACAGTTAATGCATTTAGATCGTTTAACCGTTTAACATATATAATTGTACATTTGCCTAAACTGACTAACATTTAAAAGGTCTTCAAGAATGTGAGGGAGGATGGGAAGGACTGCACGACCCTGTACACTGATCCCCACTACTTTGGTCGGGTTTGGTTCAACCAGATGCAGAAAGCGTTCGAGGCCAACAAAAGGGTGAGCTCAAAACATTCTTGTAGTGATTTAATTAAGTTTAATTCGTATCATAGTGCATTATATAGCAGATTTTTATATCAAAAAGTAATTTTAAAGATTATTTCTGTTGTTTCAATCTTCTAAGTTTGCTTTGTAGGGGTGTAATAAGAAAAAGTAAACAAGGGTGTTCATATATATGCGTGTGATGGTATTCATCACAAAATCCAAAATTCATTCTAAATCGAATACACGTTACCAATCATTATGATTAAATCATCTGCTTTGAGTTTTAAACTTTAACAAAATCCAGAAGAAAAATTTTAAAATCTTCTCCTACAGAAAAATATATAAAATTGACTGCCGGAAAAGATTTCATCGAGTTTTAAACAGATACTATTTAATATTTGAAAGCATAAACACCGTCCCACTGAGGATCGTATGGTTCCATCCAGAACTTTCTGAAGAGATGGACCAGCTCATTTCGCTCCAGCTTTCCACTCTTGTCAGTATCAGCTTTCTCGAAGAAGGTGTATGCAGCCTCCTGGGGTACATCAAAGGCTTTCATCATGGTCTTCAGCTCATCGACATCGACAGTACCATCACCATCATCATCCAGGACATCGTAGTAAGAGTTAGAGAGGAGGGCAATTAAGGAGGGTTCTCCACGTCGTCCCCTTTCTCTCTCCGCTTCAGCGAAGACTCTGTTAGCCTCAACCCAGTCATCTCGATGGAGACCGTGCTCTAGGTCTACTCCTTTATGCCAGAAGAAAGTCTTGCATGCATGCCTCATCTTCTCAACCTGCTCATCAGTAGCGTTGACCAGCTGTCTCATTCTGTCGGGCCAGTACAGGACTTCATCCATCTCCATCCTCTCGTCACTGTCCAGATCGAAAGTGTCAAACCTCTTGTAGAGTCGGGACAACATCTTGGGGTGAAGGTCCTCGACATTGTACTGCCAGGTGTTACCCACGCTTCTTAAGTACTTGTAGCTTTCGTTGTTGGTCTCGTCGAGTCCTGGCATCTTGTTGGCCTGGTCACTTTAGCTACATAACATTTGGTTGTTAATTTTGTCAAAATAAATTGTAATTTTCAATAAAATTAACCGGGAAAGAGATTGTGAACTAATTTTACACAATTTTAATATCAGAATATGCGAGAAGGTTAAATGCTTGGGAGGGGGGGGGGGGGAGCCAATGCTTCTTAGTTGCGACTAATGTTAAAAGTGAAATGGAAGATTAAGCTTAATTTTCATAGTTGGTCCGTACTATAGGGTACGTAAAAACAGCAGGGTACTTGCGGTACGAAAAATTGAATTTAGGGTACGTTAAGCTTTAAAATTGTTGACAAGACAGAACACATAGACACTACTGCTGAAGACAGTGAATCTGATAATGAGATGTCCATTGATTCCGCTTAATATCTTTAACTTTATCTTGATGATAAATTAAACATTTTAAACTTTTTAAAAACTCGTTTAAATCGCGTGAAAATAGTGGAAAAATTCACGTCAGAAGTTTCAAAAGTACTCTTGCATACGGACGGCGAAACTCGAGGGTACGAACCAACTATGTTAATTTTATTTTATCTTTGACTTGCTTGGTCGATTAAGAGTGATAAGACAATCAAACAACGTATTTTTGTTTTCAATTCAAATGTAACATTTGAGATGATAGTAAAGTATAAGTCTAACATTCATTATCATACCCAAGTTAAGTGATGATTATAATTAATTACAAAACATTTCAATACTAAAATACAAGGTAAGTTTGATGTGAGTTTAAACTTTAGAAAACAAAATATCGAAAACAAAAAAAGGAAAGTTCCAAGATCGTTTACAGATCACGAATTCAAGTCCATTCCAGGTAAGATATCATCAAGTTCCAAGTGAATACGATCTAGTATTTGTAAGCGTAGACACCATCCCACTGGGGATCGTATGGCTCCATCCAGAACTTTCTGAAGAGATGGACCAGTTCAGGTCGCTCCAGCTTTCCGGTCTTGTCAGTATCACCCTTCTCGAAGAAGGTGTAGGCAGCCTCCTGGGGTACATCAAAGGCTTTCATCATTGTTTTGAGCTCTTCGACATCGACAGTACCATCACCACTATCATCCAGGACATCGTAGTAAGAGTTGGAGAGGAGGGCAATCAAAGATCCTTCTCCACGTCGTTCCCTTTCTCTCTCGGCTTCAGCGAAGACTCTGTTAGCTTCAACCCAGTCCTCTCGTGCGAGACCGGTGTCTCGGTTTACTCCTTTGTGGAAGAAGAAGGTGTCGCAGGCAGCTCTCATCTTCTCAATCTGTTCGTCAGAAGCGTTGACCAGCTGTCTCATTCTGTCGGGCCAGTACATAATCTCGTCCATGCTCATCTTGCCGTCAGTGTCGAGATCGAAAGTGTCGAACCTCTTGTACAGACGTTCCAACATCTTGGGGTGAAGGTCCTCGACATTGTACTTCCAGGTGTTTCCGACACTTCTCAGGTATCTGTAGCTTTCGTTGTTGGTCTCGTCGAGTCCTGGCATCTTTGATAACGTTTCCTTGAGCTAAACTGGAGAATATTATTTATCAGCAAAATTGTTATGATACTTATCAGATATGACTGGTAACTGAATGACAAGTCAACAAGAGAAAGAAATCTTATAAAGTTTCAATAGTATGCCGAGGACTGCTAAAGTTTCCTTCCTTAAATGCAAAATTTCGAATGAAATATGGGACTTATGGGATTTATCAACATAGTTTGCAATAAAACTTAGTACAATTGTCACGTTAAGACCCGGAGGGCGAATAAGCCGTGGAGGAGAATCACCCTCGCATCAAATCCAAGTCATCATGATCAGCATGATCATGAAACTTCAACCTTGACTGAAGAAATGGACAGCAGCTCTGTTTATATACTGCAAAAAATTCATTATCGTAATTGGTCATTAATCGTATTAATTATTGATTAATTAAATTGGATACCTAAATTGAACTCTCAATTAACACTTCCGGAACTGATTTCTGGAGCTGATTATAGAATGAAGGGCTGGTGAACAGGCTTGGTAACTTTTTGGACAACTTTTATTCGATTAATTTAATCAGTTATCATTAATTGGTTTCAATTAATACGATAAACTGAGATCGTCTAATTCTTAAAAATAATAGTATAGAAACCCAAGCAGAGCAGTATTTATAATTAGATTTTTATTAACATTACAGAAGAGTTATGATAAAGACTAATAATATAAGTATAATTCACAACGCTGGGTTATTCCACTAAATTAAATAAACCTGGAAGCGAACCTTCGTCTTTTACTATTCCATTCAAGAGGGCTGTAGCTTCACATTACCTCAAGGCTCACCTCAATAAAAAGTTCGATTCCAGTATGTTTGTCGTTTGATGGTGTTCAACAAAACCCCTTTCTCAAACACACCATAAATTGGGGTCAATATTATCCCAAAAGGCCGACCCAGAACATGAAAGACGAGACAATAATATCAGAAGCTGATAACAATTCTCTCAGGCTCGTACAAAAAAGAAGAATAAGAAACAAAACGTGAAGAAGGAACCGCGACCCGTCATTATAAAGGAGTACAAGGTTGATGCTTTAGGTTCGTGTACATTTACAATTTACGTTCAAATTACAAAAGAAGTTTATTAGAATTGTTGCAGGAAAGACTTCCAAAGAGAACGGTACTTGTTTAAACACATCAAGCCATTATTTCAATTCTTTAAAATAATTAGTTTACAATTTATACGTCTATTTTACAGCTTTTCAGTTAATGAAGATTGTGTAATTCGTATAATTCACCGAAATTATTGAACGGATTTTTCACTAGATCAGCTCACTTGGCAATATTTATTTACCCTAAATTTGACCTTCATAACTACTCTTTACATTTACAAAAATTACCTACCATGTTAATTTCTCTCCTGACGGTGAGGCAGGGGGGGGGGGGCAATGGCATTTAAAAAAGTTCATTCATGCTACCCTGATCATTATGAGCCGAAAATATTTTTCGGGACCTAGCCCTCGAGAATTTTTCCTGAAAATTAATGAAATTTCCGGCCAAGCACCTTCTTAACTACTTACTATAACCTGATGGGTGTGCGACAATTGACCCCCGACAATTGACCCCCGACAATTGACCCCCTGTCCCCGACAATTGACCCCCGACAATTAACCCCCCGACAAATGACCCCCGACAATTGACTCCCCGACAATTGACCCCCCGACAATTGACCCCCCGACAATTGACCCCCCGACAATATAATTTAATACAATTTTAACCCTAACCCTAACCCTAACCCTAACCCTAACCCTAACCCTAACCCTAACCCTAACCCTAACCCTAACCCTAACACTAACCCTAACCCTAACCCTAACCCTATCCCTAACCCTAACCCTAACAATAACCCTAACCCTAACCCTAACCCTGACCCTGACCCTGACCCGGCCCTGACCCTGACCCTGACCCTGACCCTGACCCTGACCCTGACCCTGACCCTGACCCTGACCCTGATCCTGACCCTGACCCTGACCCTGACCCTGACCCTGACCCAGGACCCTGACCCAGGACCCTGACCCTGACCCTGACCCTGACCCCTGACCCAGGACCCTGACCCTGACCCTGACCCAGAAATTGCTTTTTTTTAAAGAGCTCATTTAAACTTTAAAGGAAGACTTTACAAAATTTTAAAAATAAAAAAAAAAACCCAAAAAAAAACCTCAAAACCCATTCCCAAAATTGAAATTTGAGGTAAAAATTGTTTTTTTGGGGTTAGACACCCCCTTTAGTACCATGTACTAACTGTTTTTCTGGAAAATGGGCAGTAGACCCACCAGTTAGTACCATGTACTAACTGTATTTTTGGGAGAAAAAATGACCCACCCAATGAACGTCACGTCCAGTACTAACATGATCCCCCCGTGGTATGAGCTTTGAGTAGCCTGGTACTTACTTCGTTACTTCGTTGAGTTCATCCGTGGAGCCGGAAGGGTCATCAGATATCTGACCACCTAGATGGCGAGTAGTCGACCAGTGAGTTTGACCAACTGCAGCTGTAGCCGGCGACCGGAGGGTTGTCCAGTATCAAAGCAAGAAAGTTCGACAAACTACACTTAAACATGTCAAAGGATGAATCAGCCTTTACTGTGTGAGGCACTTTGTTCCACAGCTTCGGTCCTTGAACTGCAAAAGACCTGTCGTACAGTGACTGGTTGCGTAAGGAACTTGACTTTGACAATGAGGGTATGACAGCTACATCCCCGTGTCTTGGGGTCACCTTGAACTTGATATCACAACAGTTTGGTACCACATTATGGAGAATCTTCCACATCATCAGGATGATATACCTCTCCCGTCTGCGCTGTAGAGACATCGATTTAAGCTATACGAGTCTTTCCCAATAGTTGAGATGTTGAAGACCGCCAATACGACTGGTGAAAGTTCTTTGCACCCCCTCTATCAGCTGAATTTCAGTCACCTTGGTAGGGCTCCAGAGTGGGCAGCAATACTCTAGTAAGCTTCTTACTAGTGACTTGTAGAGAGTAGTCATTACGGTCTTGTCGCGAGTTTTGAACACACTGAATACCCAAGATAGCGTGCTCCTTGCTTTGGGTACCATGTTGCCGATGTGTGTCGACCAGCTAAGATCACTTGAAACCATAACTCCAAGATCTCGGACGTTTTCGACAGGATAAAGTATGTCCTGACTGGATACTTTGTAACGCAGTGTTTCGGCAAAGAAGGGTAGCTCGGGGAATGAGCTCTTACTGTTATGAAGGTGATTTAACAGCTCGAACTTCTGCTCGTGAAGCTTCATGTTGTTGCTACGTGACCAGTCAAGAATCTTGTAACAACTGACAGTCTTCAAAACAGCCAATCTGTTTGGAGACTCTAGTATCATCGGCGAAAAAACTCACCCTAGATGATTCCACTACTTGTTCTAGATCATTGATGAACAAGATAAAGAGAAGCGGCCCCAAAACGCTTCCCTGGGGAAGCGTTGGCCTCCCACCCCCCCCCCCCCCCCCCCCCCCCCCCCCCCCCCCGTGAGGCATCACCATTCACCTCACCCTCAGCTTAACTTTCGCTTTATTTCTACCCCATCCATATTATGATCGTTTATCCGTGAGTGACTGAATAATTCTTAACAATTCCATCGAACCATTCAGAGCTTCTATAACTTATCTTAATTAACTTTTAACGATTATGTCTTGATCGTTATATACCTAGGTTGTGGGGTTTATCATAGCGCCTAGATAACGATCAAGAAGAGATCTCGAAGAATCCTATTTCTCACTAATGCCTAATATTTGGCCGCCTGATATGTGCCAAGATTAGGAGTGAGGAGCATGAACTATTGTGACACATCCAGACAACTGTTTGTTACCATTGAACTATTGTCCGTGTGTGCACTGTATGTGCTAACTAAGTTCAGCACGGTTTTTTGGCGATAGTCTAAACGCGATAGCTAGCCCTAGTGAACGCTTGCTATCGCAGACTATAGATTTGTGACAACTAGCGCTAGTTTGAGTAGCCTGCCATATTCGATAGCTATCGCGTTTAGACTATCGCAAAAGAGCAAAAAAACACAGCATACTCTCTAATATAAACACTGCCTCCTCTCCATACTAATAAACACTGCCATGATAATCAGAATCATTTCAACTCAAGATCACTTTAACAGAAATACTGTATACACATTGTACAGATCGTATCATTAGACTTTAGAAACTGTCACGAATTCTGCGTTTCTTGGTATTATCCTCGGTTGCTCAATTTACCACTTATTTTCGTGTCTAACTGAAGCGTGTTTTTATCTTAAAGTTTGGAGAACCTTCTTCTTCTGATAGGTCGGCGTCGACTGTAAGCCTTCCTTACGGTGGCTTTCACAACGCGTCCCCATTCCCCAACTCCTGCTATTGGAGAGAGAGACTCCCAAATTATACACCATAAATGGGCGATTTCACGTAAAGTAAATTAAACTTTGCACAAAAATTTGGCCTTATTCTGACTCTCAAGCATTACACAAACATAACAGAATCATGATAAATTGCATGAAACATCTCCTATGTACTCCACACACAGCTATATTAAGATTTTTTCTCCAACTGCTATGGCTTTTGAGTGAGGCACGTTTGAAAATGTAAAGTAAATTACAGGGCACAAATTGACATTCCTGACCAACGTGTATTGAAATCTCATTTCGTGCCCAGGTGTGAGAGTAAACATTTAAATATTTTTCATGCACATTGGCAAATGTCTTGCCTGTACTGGAAAGGGTTTGTTTTGGTAAATGGTTAATAGCTGTGTTCTGTAGAAGCCTTTGTTCCTTGTAAAGTAAGTTACTCTTTTGTGTCAAGTAGTTTACACTGTTACACAATCCTTTGATTTTAACTGTTTAAAGCTGCCCCTTTGTCTTTAATTCGTTTGCTAAGTGTATGAACTATGTAATATATGATTAATAATGATATATCAGTTTATCATTAGCCAATTAAGGGGGCCGGGGGGGCCTTCATCAAAATTTTCTCGAAATTGACTTTATAGTTGTTTCTAATAGAGGGGAGTGATATTTATCAGATGCTTTTGGTCCCATGGAAAAATATTGTTCCTAGACGAAATTATTATCGGTCAAATGTCAGCGCTTATGTGTAATTGTATTGCGCGAGCGATTTTCAATTTTTGAAAATCTTGGACCTCAAAAAATCGTCAAAAAACGAGGTCCAAGATTTTCAAAATCGAATAAAATATGTTTAAAGGCCTATCTCAAAATTCTGTCTGGCTCATCTCTTTTAAATTATCTCTAGAACATATCCTGAAAGTTTCAGGGTGATTGCTAAAAACATGTAGGAGAAAATAGATTTTTAGACTCGATTTTCAGGACAGGGGTTGAAAATCGCTCGCGCAATACGATTACACATATAAGTGCTGACCTTTGACCGACAATAATTTCGGCTAGGAATAATATTTTTCCATGGGACCAAAAGCATCTGATAGATATCACTCCCTTCTATCAGAAACAACTAAAAAGTCAATTTCGAGGGAATTTTTATGAAGACCCCCGGCCCCCTTAATTGGTTGATTGATCCACTGATTGGGTCCACAGTTAGCCCAGTTATACAGAGTAGGTAGGTGGGCGTAAATGTACGAATGTTTCCCAGCTCAAAATTTGTGTTCAAGCAGGCCACTGGATTTTCTGTAAAGTAAAGTATTATTTTCGAAAAGTCAATTTTTAACCATTTTTAACCATTTTTATAGATTTCTTTAATGAAATTCCGACCAGAACCAATCTATTATCACTTTTAAATAACTTTTATTCTGTTTGACAATCGTTACTTGTTGTGTTTTACTACTATTACTGAATAAAAAGCATATGTGTAAATTACTTGACACGTAAATTACTTGACATGTAACTTACTTGACGCTGGTATTGACATGATCTGATATCTATGGATCTAAATAAACAAGTACATTATGTCTTGACATCAGAGTTAGCTTGTTTTAGCAAGATTTCAGCAAGAAATAACATGAAATGTGGCCAGCAGAAAACTTTTTTGTTATTTATGTATAGTAATTTACACTAAAAACAGGAGAAAGTAGAATAGCATTGCTCCGAATCTGCTTAAATTTTGAGTCCCAAATTTTGCATACAGCTTCAGTGAAGTGGTATGCACCTTTACAGATCAAGAATTAATGAATATTACAACAATCTCTTTTTAGTAAACAGCTTTTATTATAGAGTAGTTTTAGCCTGTAAAACATGACAATTTATGGGTATTTTGAAAACGCGATAACACAAAAACGAAGTGAGATATTTATAAGCGGTTTTTTGTGTCTAACAGTTTATAATCTTCTCTTTCAGACTCCAATCAAAGCTAGTACCATAACTGAAATTTATTTTTTTCCCTCCTTGTTCATGTTTCATGAAATTGCCCAAATATATATTAAACATAGATATCGACAACAGACTCCGAGAGTCTTGAAGCTCTGTTACCAGCGCCCCTGGTGAACCTATTCGCTCTATGCTCCTGCACTGTAATTAGTGTCTAGTTCTTGCAGTTTCCTTCCTGTCAATAAATCGTTAATCTCAGTATTCTTTCCGCGATAAATTGGTCGGAGTGCTAACTCGGTAAATTCAATTTACCGCAGCCATCATCTATGAGCTGATTATAACAATTTTACTGTAAACTGTGGTCATAAATTCTGCGTTCCTTGGCTTTATCCTCGACTGCTCTAATAGGATCGAATTCTGAAAAACCCGGATTTAAAAAAAATCGACCGCTTAATTTGTTGAGCCATATATCAAAATTCCGATCACTCACATAAAGTCGTACTGCGATTCAGTAATTTTAAAAATTTCGTGCAAAACAATTAATCAGTAGTTGAGTTATATTCTTTTGAACGAAATTAGTTCCGCGAACTTAGAACCCACAAAATCCACACTTGAACATATTATATGGACACTTTCATTGAAGTTTGAGGATATTGGTAAATTTAAGAAAATAGCGTTTTCGACGATAGTGGCTTAATTTTAGCATCTATTAACTTAACATGTTCAGAAGTTCTGAACATTAGCCACGTGACCCATACTACATACCATATTCACTATCTGAAGCCTAAATCAAAATTCTACGAATGCTATAATAGCTACAATTCCTTCTCTATAACGCTGCTAAAAATCGCGATTTTTCAACTCCATTTGCGAGCTAAAATTGGTCCCATCGAAAGGTCAGTTTTTTTGCCGATTTCAGTGTTTTTATGACGATTCTGATCCCTTGTTGCCTGGGATATTTTGTAAAGTTCAAATTATAATATAGATATTGAGCTGTTAATTAATCACAGAGAATATTAAGATGGAGCCTTTCGTATAAAGTTTTTCTCGTCCAAAACTATTGATCTATCAAAATTGATGCGTATGCGCATTGCACAAATAAAGCTTATAACTCGGCCAATTTTTGTCTAATTTGGATAAAACTTTTGATTATTCCAAAATAAACGTGCTCTTTCGCAGGTAACAAGATCGTTACGGAGAATCAGATAAGAAAAGTTGATAACACTCTGCCATCTCAAAACCAGCAACCATATGGTAATCGTAATGATTTTCAGAATACGTACTTCAAAATACGTTCTTCGTATACTTTACTTTCTCCACCACTTGTGGTTGTGAAATGTACGAACCCCACCTTTCATTTCCCACAATGCGTTTACCAAGTTTACTTATTTTCTCCGTGTTTCAGATCCAGAGTTTTATCAGACAGAACAAGATGGCAACAACCCACCTCCTTTACAGGTTTGTCTCACAATATTTCTTGTGTACACTGCAGGTTAGACTATAAGATTGTTCTCAATTACCCACACCCCATTAACACGTATCCCTACCAATAACAGCAAGACAAGTTTATAAGAAGTTTGCAATGGTATATTTTTGGTTCGACACACGATATGTCCGATTACAACACCACTGCCGGAATGACCGGACTAATTTCCACATTTAGAGGATCTCTAATTCCTTTCTTTCAGCCATTGCACATTGAACAGGGGGATTCCATGCCACCTCCTCCAGACTTTGACTTCCCTGCTCCACTAGAATACGAGGATACATACCCGTAAGTCATTGGCACAAGTTCCAGTTTTGCAGTTTCCCGTGCGTTGTAATTTTCAGCTCTCCTCTCTCTAATTGCAGCTCTCTCTATAATTAGAGAGAGAGCGCGACTTAGGGAGATTGATATTTTGGCTAGTTCAATAAAGTTATAGACCCCGTCCCCTATACCTTGGATGGAAACGATATACCAGCATGCAGCAAGCAGCACACTCAAGGCAGCTCAGCCCTACTTCAACTCCGATTATACCGACGCAACTTCGATTACACCAACGTAACGGAAACATCACGTTGTCAGATCAGGGTTTGGCGTATCACTTCATTAATAAACCCATCTGCTATTCCTTTTGCGCTTAAGTTTTAATATGTCTTTACTTACGTAAGTTTTAATATGACTTTACTACTTACGTAACGATCTATTATGACTTTACTTACGTCTTCAACGTTCTTTTATTTGCAATCTTTCATCTTCAATAGCATTTCAACTAAAGCATTTTCTCTAAAGCTGGTAACCTGCCACTCTTTAACTAATTATTAACCATGATCCTCTTCTAAGTTTTTAGCTTTTACTTTATAAATTCATCTACTATTTCTCTGCGCTGACGTTTTATTATGACTTTACTCATGCCATCACCTTTCTTTTATCTGTCATCTAACATTTTCATCAGCACCCTTCTCATCAGCTGGTAACCTGCTACTCCTTTAAGTTTTAACATATTATGGATATACTTCTAATTTAGAATCTGTTTTGGTCACTTATTTTACAACTTAAGTCGGCAGAGTCTTATTGCTCGCGCATTTGCTTGCTTAAATTTTAGCCCTCTTTACTGTTTACTCTCGCTTGCGCTCCCCTTAGTGTCACAAACACTAGTGTAGGGCTCCTTTTCGACTGAGTCCTGTTTCCCTTGCTCATGCTCGCTAGTTAGTGCCGTATTTTTGTTCACACACTCCCGCGCACGTAGCATTTTTTTTACAGCTAGGCACTGGAAGAAGACCTCATTTTGCACAGTGTAAACATTCAATCGAATAACAGCACAACTACGGTGCACATTAAAAACAATGTTAAATTAGGCCTTCTTTCGGACTTCTTCTCAGTGATTAAAGTGCTGCTACCTAGCCCTGCCTACCATTGAACTGTAATTCAAAACGTTCTTTTGATGTTGCCGTACTGCACTGATCTCTCCTCGTTCACTTGCCTGGCCAAGTGCAGTGTGGCGGCTCCTTAACTACTATTGTAGGCTTTGTGTGTTTATTTTAGGCCAAACAAACTTGGCTGGACAGCTCTTGACCACCCATCACAGCATGCACCTCAACCTCTCCCACGTAACCTCCTTGTGGACCACTCTCTAGTAAACTCTTTACCACTATAATTATCCCACTATTACTGTTTTCCCCAATCTTCAATATATTCGGATCTCATATTGTGCACACTCTTTTAGTGATATGTTTCAATCTCCATTGCGACATGTTTCAAGTTAATATCTTCAGCCCACTTATTATCTTTAGTAGTTTAATTCCCCCTTACTCTGTGCCTAGCACTTCACTCTCATTAGTCTGCATTTAGTGTTTAAGCCATTAGTAACCCTTCTCTCCTTGTTTTCACTGTCCGTTTACCCAGCATCGTGATAATTACCTGCACTACTTTATTTATTCTACCTCCTCCTACACGAGGAATTCTTAACACGTGGCTACATCACGAGTTACCCAGCATAGTGATATTTACCGGATACTAAAATTTTTCTCGACAATTTGTCCCTCTTTGTTGTGATATGTTTCATTCTCTATTGCGACAAGTTAACCAGTTATTAGCTTCAGCCCACTTATTATCTTCTAGTAGTCTATATAGACCCTCTTTACTTTATAACCTCATGGTTGTGGCACTTAATTCTAGGGTGTTTTAGTCATTAACTGTTAATCTTCCGATTTTACGGTCTGTCATACGTTCACTCAGCACCTGTACTGATTACCTGTATTAATCACTAATCTCCATCTCTTTGTTTTTCCCAGCCGCTAATCTGTAGCTCACTTTTAATCGACCCAGTTTAGACCTCATGTCATTTAGATCTTCTATGTTGAGACAAGTTTTCAGATAATGGTTTTATAATTACGGTACTGAGCAGTACTATTTATCACAACTACCTATTTATATAAGTATATAGCACACTTCACAATCGACCCATCTCTAGACCCAATCATGCATATGAGTTTATGTCACCATCACCTGCAACAAGAGTTTGTTACCAGCATCACGGACAAAGGATAGGACAAAGAAGACACTATCTGCCACACTTATAGAGCCTGGCAAACTCTAATCAAAGGTAAGTCTGGCAGTGGTTCACACTCTGTTGATATCTCTTTAATGAGACTTGATTGAGGCCTCTCAACTTCCCTAGTTGAGTGTGTCCCACAACCAAGCTCATTGCCTAGAAGTCCTGCATTATTATAATGAACCTGGACATACGTGGCAAGTATAAGCTCTTGAAACCAAACCAAACCAAACCAAAGTCATTGGCACTAAACTTCTTACAGTAATCACTTGTCAGAACTTCCAGGGAGTTAATTACATAATTAACAAGGCTTTGTAAACATGTGCTAGGAAGAGATTTTCGTGTAAGATTTATGGAACGCGCGAAAATGCAGGGTTTTGTCGTTGACGCCTGTGCGCAAAACGCGCGGTTCGTGCGCGCGTGCCGCTCGCACGCGTTAATTATATTAACAATTAATTTGTTGTTGTCCTAATTTTATGTGTGTAAAAAACTTCCGATTTGTGAAGATATTGTGTCGAAGATATTTGGGGTACTAAGTGCTCCCAGACACATTCATCAACAATTGGTTTTTCATTGGATATCGGATGTAATTTTTACTACCGTTGATATGACATTCTCTACATTTATCTAATTATAGCATTAATCTATTTAGTGAAACTAAATCTTGTAATGCACAACATGAGGGTGTTTGCAGTTGGTTAGCCCCACAAATCAGAGAATGCCCTTAGCACATACAAATTATGATTTAATAGTGCTAATATCGGTTAATTGTTGAACCTCTCAGGTCGTTGAACCCTCCAGTCAATGAATACGCTGGATCGCCTGCTCCCTTAACAGTACATCAACCATATGATGATGAGGTCGTCTATGATGAACCGGTTAGTGTTATAAATTCTTTCACTCGTCATGTCACATGGTTACTTTGTCATAGGGTTCATGGTTGACTGCTTTGGTAATAACACCTCAAGCTAGCTCGAATCTGTGTATTAGGTTTACAAGTGGTAAACAATCTCTTCTCTGTCAGGTTCGCACGAATGTACCCAGAGCCCCAGCCGCTCCTCAAGCTCCAGCCGCTCCAAGAGCGCCTCCCGCTCCAGCCGCCCCGAGGGCACCACCTGCCCCAGCGGCCCCTAAAGCACCGCCAGTTCCCGTTGGAGGTGCTGTTCCAAGGGCGCCACAGCCACCAAATGCTGGTTTGCAGAGACCCAAACATGCTCCTGCTCCTCCCGCTGAAGAACCTCGCAATTTCCTTAATGACATTCAGCAGTATTCTATCAACACTCTGAAAAAGGTATAGTGTTCAAGTGTTTTTGTCTAAATTATCGTCCTACTTCATTAGGCATGATAGAATTAAACATTGAGCTGAATTGTGATTTGCTTGCATTAACAAGCCTCACAATCACTTATGGTAGATTACATATTATACGTATCACCATATAACACTCCGATATCCCTGCAGGCACCTAAACCGGAACCTAAACCAGAACACCACTACGCCTCCATGGATGTGATGTCCATTCTGAGTAGACGGCTAGTCATGCAGTCGAGTGACACTAGTGACTCTGGCAGTGACAGCTCGGATCAGGATTGGGATGGCGACGAGTAACCACCGTAACCATAGTAACCACCTATTGGCTATTTGTGGCAAACAAATGGAACGTAAAGAATGGCAGATTACCATGACAACCTCAAACCTGTATCATTAACTTGTCCGAGCTGCTGTGAGGCCACACACTTGAGAGCGGCAGTTTTCAGTTGTCTAGATTTTAGTCCAGCTCCCGCTGGATGATAAATTAAGGAATCAGTACATTAAGTTTAATGATTAGCTGTTTGATTTCCGAGCTAAACCGGAAAATATTCGAATTTACGTCGCTGCAAATAACTTGTTGATTAATGACTACCGATCGGCTATACACAGCAAGATGAACCATTTATACTTTTTACTACTGATGACTCTGATCACAGAAACTGTCCAAGAATGATTTTATCCGATTAAATTGTTTTATTTTTGTATAAAATTTGTGGTTATTACATGTTTTGTATTGTGATATTCATTGTTTCAACGGTTTTTATGTTTTTAGGTGTTAAAGAGGGTAAACATGTTTTTATGTCCCTACTACTACTAGCAATTATTATTGTTCCATTCTGACTTAAGCTTTGCTAACACAGACGCACAAATTTGCTTCATTAAAACTTTTACATCATTTATTTTTATGTTATTATTATTACTTAAATGTAAACAACTCCTGCTAATCAAATTTGGAATTCATTTTCGGTTTGCATTTAATTGTTTGCTTATACGTATAATTAAATATATCTGGCTTGGAAAGTTGCAATATACAATACGACTGAACTTTCAGTCATACACATTATATAATATAATTGAACTATGAACTATCACATTTTGTTTCAGTGTTGATTTAAGGACTTTTAAATGTGAACAAAGTGTTTATTGAATTAAAATAACGTGCGGCCATAAGTTGTTTTGCCGTTATCATATGCTCCAGGTGATGGTAGCTTTCTGCAATCTGGAGTGATCACTGTATATTGTAAATATGATATCAATATGATTAGAGAATGAACAGGAGTATGAATATGATATTGGATATAGCTATTTTATGTCGAATCTATAGCTTTAAATTTTAGTTTTATTTGGGAATTTCATGAAGATCTATCACCAGATCACCTGTAGTAATATCGCCAGCCGGTAAGGTCTGCTGGGTATCGGATACTTTAACGGGTGATACTCGTATAAATATAATATCTGTTCCATATATTAGTTCCATATATCAGGACCGTCGACTGTTCCAACTCGGCGCGTGTCCTGGTAGGTTGTAAACCTATAACGGATACTGTTGGCGCTCCCACCTCCCATGCAGTTCTTGTACTCTTATTTAATCTAATCTGACAGTTATTCGAAAATGTACACGTACGTGGGCATATTTGTTCCATTTTATATTTTGGCTATGAATTAAATGTCTAAATAATTGATATAATACTATGGAAGTTACAAACTGGATCGGATGATGATTAATCACTCTACACTCGACTGTCACGTGACTTTTTCAACCCGTTCTCTAGCTGGTCCTGAACGACTATTCGAAACCCTAGCTAACCCTCTAATTTGATCCTATAACCCTAACCCAATCCTTAACAAAGCATTTGCTGAAAACATAACCCTTCCTTATACATTATACGGTCATATCACGTGATCGGGACAGTTTTTCGCCAATATCTCGTCAGGGGAGCATGTGTTGACCATTGTTAATTATATTTATATTTATTAATGGTCTGGCCCGGCGCGCGCTACTTCGTAGCACTTGCTGCTTGCCGTCAAGAAAAAAGCGGCGCGCGCTACTTCGAAGAAATTTAGACGAGTAACATCCGTCAAGGCCAGGGAGCATGTCATGGCGGTGATTCGGAAGCTCAGCGTCCGAAAAAAACATCGATTGAAGGGTCGGGGCGGGCGCGCCCTTTTAAAACAATCTCGAAGATTAACTGTTGTAGAAAAAGTGATTTAGCACGCTCGCGCTCTTTACAAACTATTAAAATACTAAACAACAAATTTAAGTTTTTGCACGACGCGACATTCGACAAAAACATTTTAAACATTTTTAAACAACTTTTGGTACCGCATAATAACAACCTTATAAACTGCAAAACTAAAGCTACATATCATTTTGCAACATAGCATAGCAGTTCAGTTGATGCTTGGGTCCGTGACCCCCTCAAAATGTCTGTCACGGGTTTAGTTTGCTGGTCAACTATTTCGAAAACGAGTAGGGGGATCATGATTACTGTGCCGCGCTCAGCCTGTCATTCCGCCAAATCTTTATTAATGAACATAATAGCCTGGGGTCCTCAGGTAAGGATCATGAGTGTTTTTGAATCTGAGAATTTGACCATTTTCGCCGGAAATAATCACGAGTATCACTTGTGATACTCCCCCTCGAGTATCACAAAAAAATTAGGGTGAATCCTCTTAAACTGAATAAAATACATAACCATATGCGCAAAATCCATTGTTAATTGTAGAGTAAGTTTTTATTTTTAACATACGGTGCATGCAGCTGATACAAAATGTAAAAACATCCTATTATATCCTATATATGATATAACTTCCCTAGCGATTTTAATTTTCGAGTTATTCAATTTATATTACCGATAAAGGTATACAATTTTAATGAATTCGACTAAGTTTAATTCTGTATGTCGCTTTGAAAGATTTTCGATAAAAAAAAGTACGCATTCTAGCAACACACATTTAGTTAAATCCAATGTACGATGTACAATGTACATTGTACAATGATTACAAAGGGCCTGGGTTTCTAGATATAAATCTAGCAAATTCAACCTGGGTCACTGTTTAAATAAAGCGTTCCTAGTTAACCATACAATCACCCCTAATTAGCAGTACTGAACACACTCCATCTCCTTCTCTTCAGCTCTCCTTTCAGCAGCTCAATTTCCTTCTGACTCCCCTTCAACATTCCCTTATTCTCGTACGCACGCCGGGACAGATACGGTAACACAGCCTCAATGGGTCCGTACGGTACGTACTTATAGCTGCAGTACCCACCTGCTCCTAACAAGTACGTGACTTGATCACACATTCCAAGCAGCTGCCCGAAGAAGATACCTCCGTTTGCCGGACAAATGCCGGACTGTCTCATTCGCTCCACAGACCACAACGTACTGGATGGTGAATTCGTTGTGGGATGCTATTATCACCTGACATTTCTGTCTTTCGATCTGCTTCAGGACGATTTCAACCATATTGTGGTAGCATGAGTTCGTGTGTGCTTTATCGGGGTATATAGGGTCCTCGTAGTTAAGGTCGAGCGCACGTTGGCGTTCTTGTTCCATGTACGCGCCACGGACAAGCTTTGCGCCGAGTTTGTAACCCAGCACGTTCGCTTTATCTGCATCATAGATATGCTGGGACGGGGTGGACTTTAGATAACACTGATACGTGTTGAACACGTGAACGTTTTCCTTGTTATATCGGGACATCATCTTGTTCGCAAAGTAGCCTATCATAGGTTGGAAGTAGGTCTGTTCAGCGTCGATGAGTATCTTGGCATCCAACTCAACTGCGCGGTCGCACAGCACAATCAGTCTTTCTTCGACTCTATTAATAGCTTCTAAGTGATCGGCACTCATTTTAATTTTACCATCAGGAAGATTGAGATGTGTTAACACGGTGTAGAGTGGTTTCTCAGGTGGACCAGGCATGCAAAATTCACGGAATCTGTGGTATTTAATATGGCCCATTTCATCCGGAGACATTGAATTATACATATCTGTGATTTCACTTTCGTTTAAATCAGCGCCCAGACTGGTCAACATAGCTCGGAAATTATCGAGCGTCATTCTTAGTTCTGCAAGAAGTTCTTTGGGTCCTAGTACATCTTTAGGCAGGTACTTGGTGTTGATATAGGAGGGCAGCGTACCTTCAAATGTTTGGGAATGTTTGATATACAACTCCTGGATCCGATGCAAAAAATGAGAGCCTTCAAGCAGTGCGTTGGGTTTACCCAGACCTGTGACCTTGATGGCGGAGAATGCGTTTTTATCACCAACTTGGCTCGCTGTCTCCAAACATTCCAGGATCATTTTCAAGTTCTCCTCACAAATGTCTTCTCCTTTGTAAGGATAAGCTCGAGCTACCGCTTGGTGGGTGTTACGTTTGGAGGAAATGGAATCCTGCTTAAACTGCACTTCTGTAACAGCAATCTCGGGAATCTCATCTGTTTCTTCCTCCTTCAGATCTGCTTCAACTGAGTAATCCAGGATGGGCTTCACCCCGTACTCCTGCATTTTTGAGAGTTTTGGTCGGAGATCATTCACATCAGCTCCACCGACAAACTGACCATAAAACGTCATCCTCATAACAGAATCAAACATCTTTTTCGGCAGCATTATTTTGGAGAACTTCAAGAGTTTCTCGTTGTTATTTACAATGGAATCAATACCACACAGACCCAGCACAATACGGGATCTAAACAGTTCAAACGTGTTTTTCGACTCATACGCTGCTTTCGCATCCTGGAAGTTCAGGAGAACGGGCGGAACAACGTGACTGTCAGTTTGTGCGTCAGAGCGTTTGTGACGGGCTGGAGTGCTGTGCTGAAGTTGGGGTAGAGCTTGCAGACGTCCGTATCGGGGGAGAGCCCCCAAACTTGTTGATCTCAGTACATTGTTGACTCTTAGCATCACTGTAAAACTGACATTTCATACGAAATTTATTATAGGAAAATACAAGGAATATTATATCATAATACCAAGGCATCAAGCAAAGCTTTGAACTTTCTTGATATGATAAATAAATGCATCAATGTAAAATCTTGTCGGTAAAAGGTTCCCGAGGAACATCAAAGAGGAACAGCAAGCCACTATCAGTATCACCAACGGTAAAGTTTCAAAATTATTATAACCATGTATCTCATAATATACTATTGGCAGAGAAAGCTGCGTTATAATGCATACTGCATAGGTTATTGAATAATCGCAAGCAGACATACTAGGCTTTTAAAGTATAAGTATGCATGACAATTTGTGAAATTAAATCTTGGAAAATTCAGTTACATATTAATCACGAGACACGACTTAAATTATAAGTATAACTTTCAAAAGAATCTGCACGACTGCACCGAACAGGAAACTCTCCAAATGTGTCTACTGTTCATGATAAAATTAGAGATACTCCTTACAAACTCAAGCAATTATCAATTAAGCACGGTGCTAAGTTAAAACTGACAGGATACAAGAACACGACCCAAATATAACACACATAACCCCGGCATGCGCAGGGATTATATTTCAATTTTTCCCGCGACGCGCGGGAAAAATTGATAATAATTTCGAGTGCGAAGCACGAGGGATTATTATGAAAATAACCCCGAGGTGCTTTAGCACGAGGGGTTATTTTAATATAACTTAAGCTTGCCGGTGTTATGTGTTATAAACCCCTCCGGGTTAGTGCTAGGACCATTACATTTTATATTTTACTCTTAATTCTTGTTATTGGAGGTAATCATCATGATTATTCGAAATGGAATTGAAGAAGTAATAGCCGTATATTGAAATTCATTAGAATTAGTCAGATAGAAGTATATAAAATTAGATAAATAGAATTTATAGAACCAATAAGGTAATCGATTTAATTCACAAAATCTGGATTCTGTAGTCTGAAAAAGGCTACTTTCATTAGCAAACAAGTTATCAGTAAAAGTCAAAATAAACAATTATTTGAATTTAGGATTGTCCAAGATCTCGGTTCATCGATATGTAGAATTAAAACCAACAAGGTAACAGATGTAATACATCAAATCTGGAGTCTGTTATCAGAAAAAGGCTACTTTAAATAGCAAACAAGTAATTAGCAGGAGGAAACAAGTTTGCATGCTGGGTTTTGGAATATCTCGACGATTGGGTAGTCGGAATTCAAACACCTTCAGTCTGCACGGTGGGGATGCGAGAATGGTTGAAATTTCTTCTGCTGATAGCTCTTGTTCGAATCTGGAATTTAAAAAAAATTAATTGAGCTCAATCATAGTATTAAGTTAAACTTAAGCATTGTAAATAATTGACATTTTAGGGTTGAAATTAACTAGCTGAAATTTCAAAAACTTAGTTAAACTGGGTTAATTATAAACCCCTCCGGGATAGAATAAGATTCTGATAATCCCGGCTCCCGCTAAATAGATTTTGATAATCCCGCCTCCCGCTGTTAGTTTTTTCCCGCTGAATGAATAACCCCGGCATAGTTTGTATAATCCCGTCCCGCTATTTGGTTCGACCCGGTTCAGTTATTTAACAGATATTAATTTGTCTCTCATGAATAAGGCTAGTTTTAATCTTCCCACGAGAATATCTGTTCGGCGCTTAATTAATGTCACGTGTCCTGATGACACGTATCACGTGACCTCCCACTACGACGCGCATTCGTCAAAAATAACACGTGACCTATAACCTAACGTAATAAATATAGATCTGCTTGGCACGTGCCAGGAGTTGGCAAAGTTCCAGCAAGCTCCTTGTTATTGAATATCTTGGACCAGTTCCAAAACCTGTTCATTAGTTTCGTTTGACCGTTATTGCGCATGGATCTTAGTTCAGCCTCAGAGGAGGATAACCCCTTATTTGATGTTAGAGTGGAGGAACTTCTCCAAAACCGTACACCAGCTTCAACCATCAAAGTGAACAATTGGGCAGAAAACAAATTTGATACCTGGCTGGAAACCACGAGCTTTCCCTATCTATCCTTTGAAGATGTTGACTACGACAGATTGAATTACATAATGGAGCGCTTTCTTTGCGACGTTGGGGAGAAATTGAAATACCGCTCAATGCATTCCGTTATAACTGCCTTGAATAGGAAGCTCAAGGAAAGGTCCGTCGACCAAGACCTTTTTGTGACCAAACGGTACGAGCGGTTCAGGCGAGTGTATGATGGGTGGCTGAAAGAAAAACAGGCGTCTGATATCAGTTCTCCAACTAATAAGGCTGGTTACATCACAGAGGCTGAGGAAGAAAGATTGTGGGATAGTGGAGTATTCGGGATCAGCACACCTATTCAGCTGCTAACCACAGTAATATTTCTGTTGTGCAAAATATTCACGCTCCGTGGTGGAGATTAGTTGAAACAACTTAAATCCGGTGACATCACGATCACAAAGCTTAAAGACAGGTGTGAAGTTTGGTACAGAGAACGCAGGTCAAAGAATAAACAACCGGGTTTGAAGAGCATTAACAAAGAACGGAAACAGGTGCAGCATTTTGATCCAATCAACGAGTCATACTCGAGATCGTTTTCCTTTGTTTACCAAGTGTTTCTGAGTAAATCTCACCCCAAAGTGTCCGATCCTGAGTCGAAACTGCAACTCCTTCAACATTGTTTAACTTTGAAAAAATGTAAGAACTTACAGGAAGCTAAAGTGTGGTTCTGTAACCGGAGAGTAGTAGGGAAGAATTACCCAAAAGAACTATTCGAAAAAGCGATGGAAGAAGCCAAAATAGATCACAAAGGAAGGAACCTCTCCCTGCGATCTATCAGACCCTCCTCAATACACAGGATGGCAAAGAATAACGTTCACCCCGAAAAGATGAGGAAAAGAACCGGTCACTCTTCCATCTCTGCCCTGAACCAGTACACACGGTAAAAATAAAAATATTATAATTAACCCAGTTTAACTAAGTTTTTGAAATTTCAGCTAGTTAATTTCAACCCTAAAATGTCAATTATTTACAATGCTTAAGTTTAACTTAATACTATGATTGAGCTCAATTAATTTTTTTTAAATTCCAGATTCGAACAAGAGCTATCAGCAGAAGAAATTTCAACCATTCTCGCATCCCCACCGTGCAGACTGAAGGTGTTTGAATTCCGACTACCCAATCGTCGAGATATTCCAAAACCCAGCATGCAAACTTGTTTCCTCCTGCTAATTACTTGTTTGCTATTTAAAGTAGCCTTTTTCTGATAACAGACTCCAGATTTGATGTATTACATCTGTTACCTTGTTGGTTTTAATTCTACATATCGATGAACCGAGATCTTGGACAATCCTAAATTCAAATAATTGTTTATTTTGACTTTTACTGATAACTTGTTTGCTAATGAAAGTAGCCTTTTTCAGACTACAGAATCCAGATTTTGTGAATTAAATCGATTACCTTATTGGTTCTATAAATTCTATTTATCTAATTTTATATACTTCTATCTGACTAATTCTAATGAATTTCAATATACGGCTATTACTTCTTCAATTCCATTTCGAATAATCATGATGATTACCTCCAATAACAAGAATTAAGAGTAAAATATAAAATGTAATGGTCCTAGCACTAACCCGGAGGGGTTTATAACACATAACACCGGCAAGCTTAAGTTATATTAAAATAACCCCTCGTGCTAAAGCACCTCGGGGTTATTTTCATAATAATCCCTCGTGCTTCGCACTCGAAATTATTATCAATTTTTCCCGCGCGTCGCGGGAAAAATTGAAATATAATCCCTGCGCATGCCGGGGTTATGTGTGTTATAATATTTTTATTTTTACCGTGTGTACTGGTTCAGGGCAGAGATGGAAGAGTGACCGGTTCTTTTCCTCATCTTTTCGGGGTGAACGTTATTCTTTGCCATCCTGTGTATTGAGGAGGGTCTGATAGATCGCAGGGAGAGGTTCCTTCCTTTGTGATCTATTTTGGCTTCTTCCATCGCTTTTTCGAATAGTTCTTTTGGGTAATTCTTCCCTACTACTCTCCGGTTACAGAACCACACTTTAGCTTCCTGTAAGTTCTTACATTTTTTCAAAGTTAAACAATGTTGAAGGAGTTGCAGTTTCGACTCAGGATCGGACACTTTGGGGTGAGATTTACTCAGAAACACTTGGTAAACAAAGGAAAACGATCTCGAGTATGACTCGTTGATTGGATCAAAATGCTGCACCTGTTTCCGTTCTTTGTTAATGCTCTTCAAACCCGGTTGTTTATTCTTTGACCTGCGTTCTCTGTACCAAACTTCACACCTGTCTTTAAGCTTTGTGATCGTGATGTCACCGGATTTAAGTTGTTTCAACTAATCTCCACCACGGAGCGTGAATATTTTGCACAACAGAAATATTACTGTGGTTAGCAGCTGAATAGGTGTGCTGATCCCGAATACTCCACTATCCCACAATCTTTCTTCCTCAGCCTCTGTGATGTAACCAGCCTTATTAGTTGGAGAACTGATATCAGACGCCTGTTTTTCTTTCAGCCACCCATCATACACTCGCCTGAACCGCTCGTACCGTTTGGTCACAAAAAGGTCTTGGTCGACGGACCTTTCCTTGAGCTTCCTATTCAAGGCAGTTATAACGGAATGCATTGAGCGGTATTTCAATTTCTCCCCAACGTCGCAAAGAAAGCGCTCCATTATGTAATTCAATCTGTCGTAGTCAACATCTTCAAAGGATAGATAGGGAAAGCTCGTGGTTTCCAGCCAGGTATCAAATTTGTTTTCTGCCCAATTGTTCACTTTGATGGTTGAAGCTGGTGTACGGTTTTGGAGAAGTTCCTCCACTCTAACATCAAATAAGGGGTTATCCTCCTCTGAGGCTGAACTAAGATCCATGCGCAATAACGGTCAAACGAAACTAATGAACAGGTTTTGGAACTGGTCCAAGATATTCAATAACAAGGAGCTTGCTGGAACTTTGCCAACTCCTGGCACGTGCCAAGCAGATCTATATTTCTTACGTTAGGTTATAGGTCACGTGTTATTTTTGACGAATGCGCGTCGTAGTGGGAGGTCACGTGATACGTGTCATCAGGACACGTGACATTAATTAAGCGCCGAACAGATATTCTCGTGGGAAGATTAAAACTAGCCTTATTCATGAGAGACAAATTAATATCTGTTAAATAACTGAACCGGGTCGAACCAAATAGCGGGACGGGATTATACAAACTATGCCGGGGTTATTCATTCAGCGGGAAAAAACTAACAGCGGGAGGCGGGATTATCAAAATCTATTTAGCGGGAGCCGGGATTATCATAATCTTATTCTATCCCGGAGGGGTTTATAAATACAGCAGGGCCCTCGCCCTAGGCCATACCTAATACAACAACTATAGCAGCCTCTAAGATGAAAATTAAGACAACACGGGTCCTGGAATGGAATGCTGCTTCACATGTGAACAATATAAAAGTCAACAAAAGGACTTTATCACGGACTTATGATGAAAAGATAAATTTAGTTTTCTCTCAACCTTATTCTCGAATAGAATAAATATTGAACGATATAAACTAATAGGTAGTACTACTCTAGTACATTACTGGGCCGCGCTCAGCCTGTCATTACCCCTAAGTTCCATGCCCGAATTTTCACTCAAATTTTTCACCCAAATAAAATTTGCCCGAATTTTTAACCCACATTTTTCGCATCGACTGAAATATTCGGGCTAAAAAAATTCGTGAACTTGCGCACGAATTTTTTAAATTTCACTCAAATAACATAGTCGCTGCGGTTGTAATCAATACTATTATTACTATAATTGCATTTCGTTGTCCTAAATGTTTCTGGGATTACCTAACGCATATCATCATAACACTAATGATAACAACGCTATTACACTACACATCGATTACACGATTAGCCATTTTATTGAGGAGCTGCAGTGAGTCATTTTCGGGTTCCCAAGAACCAATGTTTTATTATCTGATATTTAGGACGACTGAGGCATGAAGAGAACCGAGGAGGATGACTGAGGAGGACTGAGGAAGAGGACGAGGAGGACTGAGAAGGAGGAGGAGGACTGAGGAGGACTGAGGAAGAGGAGGAGGAAGCATCTAAATGTTATTTCCACAACATTCTTGTTTGTTTTTGTTCCGTTCTTGTCCGCCCTACTTTTTGTCCGTTTTGAAAATATAGGGTACCGAACGGACAAAAACGGACACAAAACATGATCCCTCCCCAGTCCTTATATCTTTATATTAATTTAAGTTGGTCAAACATGTTAATTGCGAAGGAATTATTCTTGACTATGAAAGTTCAAACAACTTAATTTAGATATGTCAACCCTATTTTCTTAAATTTATAACACAAAAAAGTTTATAGAAAATATATGAAGGACACTAATTTGCTTCTGCACATTGGTTGTTACACTAGTTTACGTGATGTTTACGTAATTTTCATCCTAATTTAAACTTAGGTGGTCGCAGTCTCGATCTCACCCGACGCAACCAATACGCGTATCGATTTCCGCACGCAAATTATTTGGGCATGGAACATGTCACCCGAATAAATTTATTTCACAAATAAAATTTGCCCGAATTATTTTACCGTATTATTTGGCCATGGAACTAAGGGGTAATCTCTATTCGGTGTTTATGAACATGATAGCCTGAGGTCCCCAGGTAAGTAGTACAACGCTGCAGCACAAAACTAAAGCACACTGCTGACTGCACAGCGAAGGTACTGGACAAGAGACAAGAGTACAATTGTCAAAGCGTCATATCATCGCCCTGTAAGGTAGAACCAGACGATTTTATGCAGCACAGTAAAATGTTTTGAGGACTATTAGAGCTATTATGTGGGCTGAGAGTGCGAAATTGCAACTACATTGATGGAAAATACCAACTCATAAAATTATCCCCGTTGGAGAACTGAACCGCGTTGGAGAAGTTTGCTGAACGACAATTTGAACAGTAAAACTGACTTGGTGGCAAAGGTGGCATTAACAATTGAATTTGTGACCTAAAATAAAAATATTTAACGATAAACACCCCGTTATCAAAGGTAAATTTGACGGATGTTACTCGTCTAAATTTCTTCGAAGTAGCGCGCGCCGCTTTCTTCTCGAAATGGCAAGTGCTACGAAGTAGCGCGCACCGGGCCAGACCATTAACAATGGTCAAAGGTAAATTAATTAAAGCTATTTAAAATTTCAACAACGGTGTCAGAAGAGTGCTACAAACGAATTTTCGTATAAAAACTGGTTATAAAGATCGAAATATGGAGAGGTTGATTCACGATGTCAATCCTTCGCAGCTCGGTGAGGCACAGTGGTGCATCTCGCCGATCTACCGAAGTGGTTGCGAGAAGCATTATTTGATGCGCGCGCGACCCAGTAGTGCATCGCGCTACAAATGGAGAGGAAGATGAACGAACACTATCACGTACCTTACCTTTTATAACGTCATTGAAAATGAAAAACGGTTGCACAAAGCTACCCGCTAAAAAGCCCGAAATTGCAATACAATTACTCTAAAAGCCCAAAATATCATAATTTACTACCTCACGTCACGTCTTGTGGTACATTAGCGGATATAGTAACCACGAATACGAGTCACGTTTACAAAATAGGACGGATTTAATACCCGGCGATTAAATTATTGTAACCATAACAACCAACAACAACGTGACTATGTAAGATAAATATATTAGATATTCTTAACAACGTACCTAGCTTTAGATACCTATCTGCACAAAACTCAACTACAAAGACATGAGAGAGGGCGCCATTCCCTCTGAGCTGCATGCATGCGCGCACAAAATGAAGCAATATACATTTTACAATTGCAAACTAAACATGCTATAATTTGTTGTAGCGCGATGCATTGACCATTGTTAATGATCAGGTGTTATGTAGGCATGAGGTAGTATTGTTAGGGAGGCAGGTAGTATATATAATCTGTATGATAAGCCGTTTATTCGTTGCATAATACCAAATGTCTCGTGCACAGAGTTTGATTATAGATAATATTTAAGATTCTTTTATCTAATTACTTAGTCGGAACCCCGCAGAAAAGGGGATTGTAATTTGTAGTAATGTTTACGGATGATCCATATAAGAAATTAAACAGCGATTTGATGAGGAAAGTTAAATACAATTTGACGAGGTATTCAATTTACGCAAAGTTTAACCTGGACCGAATGGTGCCAGACGGCGATTCTGTTTGAAACAAGGGCCGCAGAACTGTATAGATTAATTTTGTGGTGCCCAAGGGGCTGAGGTTATACCGGTTGATTTACCGAACTATTCGAATTAATCACGATTAAACCCAAGTTGCGAGATAAGGAACGACTGAGTTTATTATAGTGTTGAGTTCAAAGGTCAGTCATGCGGCTAGCATGATTAAAGCGGTAATCATATGAGATTGAGTGCAAGATACGAAACGCTCACGACTACAAAAGACATGTGCACGAGTTTCTGATCGCCTTTTCTTCAGCCATCGCTCTTTCTTCAGTAACACGGCCCAGGGTGGTTTAGTGCGTTGAGCTCTCTCCCATGTCACTAGTTTCACAAATAGATTGTCCCACCGCTACCAGAACACTTCTTCCCGTCACTCCCAGCACTAGGCCATGGAGTTTTATTCCCGAGGTATTGTTTCTCATATTGATTAGATGTTGTTCAACTTCATGGCAATAGTATTTTCCAATTATTGCTTATATCCCTTTCCAGGACAACCCCCTCCCGCGGATTCTGCCTCATTCCTAGCCGTCAGGAGGGAACGTAGCCTTAGGAGAGAACGATGCCAAATCCCGGTCAGTCACTAGACTTATTATACTGTATACATTGTTTAGTTAATTGTTGTTTGTTATTATATGTATTATTTTATTATATGTTGATTTATCCGTCCTGACGTGTCATTAGATTCTTAATTAAGACCATCGTATAATATGTCCTCTTCAAGTTCTCATATAAATCTACTTCAGCAGTGATCCTAGTAGCTACACGTCCATCATAAAGTCAACCTGAGAGAGAGTCAGCCAACCCCGTAACACACAGTCACACACAGTTCCAATTGATCATCGTCATCCAGCTGCCCGACGGATTTAGGGTAACGGACTTTGCCATTTGATTACTTGTTTTGATACCTTATTGATCTTATTAAATACATTACTTTACAATCTTAATTTACGTGTTTCAATTGGCTATCTTCCAGATATAAATTCACCTAAAAGTTCGAAGTCCATAATTGCAGTATAAATTCCTGTCCTAAAATTTACCCTTGTACACATGAGAGTTTGGGCTTGAACTGGTCCCTGAGTGAGTCTCAAGCCAGGAGGTATTCCATAATATCGGAACTTGAATTTCCATACTCTAGTTAAAAGGAGCCCATTATACGTAGTTAATTTAATGCCATCCAAATTTAATGAAATATAGTAAATAAATAATCTCTAGAAGTTATGGAAATTTGGAGCAGTAAATAGGCCGTTAAGTAAAGTTGTCGTGCTGAAATCCGAGCACGCCTCTTAACATCAGGCCTGGCGCGCGCTACTTCGTAGCACTTGCCATCGGGAAGAAAGCGGCGCGCGCTACTTCGAAGAAATTTAGACGAGTAACATCCGTTAACATTAACATTAACATTTCGAGAAGAAAGCGGCGCGCGCTACTTCGAAAAAATTTAGACGAGTAACATCCGTCAACGCAATGCACTACTGGGCCGCGCCGCCATCTTCTCGCAACCACAGAATCACATGCAAATATGCAGATCGGCGAGATGCGAAGGATTGACATCGTGAATCAATATAATTTGTATCACAAACACGTCGTGACCCCCATTGTCGTTACATGTACATAATAGTAAATAAGTATGAAAAATTCCATTCTCAGTAATGAGGTGCTCCCTGACAAATACAAAGTATTTAGGCTTGACCGATCCTTAAGATCGCATCCAGTGGATGCATCCCAGCCCAAGAAATTCAGAAAAAACGGTGGTGGTGTTCTGATTGCCCATAGAACAGACATTGATATCTCGAGTCTAAAGTTCTCTAAAGTTAGTGTTCAAGCTGAATTATTATCCATCATAATTAAGACTCAGTGTGGAAGAAACTTTTGTATATCAACATTTTATAGAGTAGGAACGCTTGGCTTAGATAATTTTGAATCTTTCAAGAAACATTTTGTTACTTTAGCATCTGCCAGAAAATTGCAAAGGCACATTCTGGTAGGTGACTTTAATTTGGCTTCGATTTCCTGGCCAGATGGTCAGTCATCTTGCCAGCTACATTCTAGTTTTGTAAATTTTCTCACTGATGACCTTGGACATACACAACTTATTAGCTCCCCTACTCACAAGTCAGGCAACACCTTAGATCTTGTGTTCACTAACATTCAAAACCTTATTAAGAATGTTAAAGTTTTAGATCAAAACGAAATGTGTATGTCCGACCACTTTTGTATCACATTTGACATTGATATTAAGACCAAGTATATTAAGCAGCCTAAAAGAAAGATATTTAATTATAGTAAAGGTAATTTTAGGGGCCTGAATTCTGAGTTATTTAGCATCGATTGGGATAGTATATTTGAGTGTAATGATCCTTATCTTGCCTGGAGTCGATTCAGAGGAGTTCTCGGTGCAGCCTGTGACCGATGGATCCCTAAAAAGACCATTAAGTCTCAGTTCCAGCCCCCATGGTATGACTCCGAATGTGATCGTCTCCTACGAAATAAGGAGAAATGGAGAATAAGGCATAAGGGGAGCAACTCTGAGTCTCATAAACAAAAGTTTCGTGCATTTCGCACAAAATTTAAAAATTTGATGGACGAAAGAATGAGACTCAGTGTTGAGGATGACTCCGATGATGCTCTTATCTCCAAGAAATTCTGGACCTACGTTAAATCTAAATCAAAGTCAACCAGGATCCCTGAAACTGTCAAATATCATAATCGCTTTCGAAACAATCCATCTGATCAAGCTGCCCTTTTTAACGAATATTTTTATGAGCAGTTTTCTCAAGAGAGCGATTATGGCATTGACATAGATTTTCGTGATGATTGTTTTTCAAGTCTTGTGTTTAGTAGAGAAGATGTTCTGTTGATTCTTAAAAAGTTAAATCCTAACAAGGCCCCTGGCCCTGATGGGATTCATGGGAGGGTCCTCAAAAACTGTGCCCAAAGCCTTGCATACCCACTTAGTGTTTTATTTAACCTGTCTTTCTCGAGCGGATGCATACCCCCTGATTGGAAGCTGGCACTTGTAGTACCAGTGCACAAAAAGGGCGATAAGTCTTCAGTTGAGAACTACAGGCCTATCTCGTTAACATCTCTTGTAATGAAAGTCTTTGAAAGGTGCATAAAGACTGCATTATACGCTGCATGTTCTGATCTGTTGGATGACCGACAACACGGTTTTGTTAATGAACGTTCATGCACAACCCAAATGATACCTTTCACGGACAATCTTGCACTTGCATTGAATAACAGGTCCAGGACTGATATAATATATTTTGATTTTGCGAAAGCTTTTGATAGCGTTTCGCATGACCTCATTTTAAGTAAATTAAAGAATATTTTTAATGTCGATGGACTAATGCTTAAATTTATTAAGTCCTATCTTGAGGGGCGACAACAACAAGTAGTGATAGGAGGCCAAACGTCTTCTTCTCTACCAGTTCGGTCTGGTGTCCCTCAAGGTTCTATACTTGGCCCTTTATTGTTTGTAATATTTATAAATGACATGTTCTCCTGTGTCTCTGAAGGCACCAATATCGCCCTTTATGCAGATGACACTAAAATTTGGAGGGAGATCCTTGGTTACCCTGACCATCACATAATCCAAAATGACATCAACAGATTATATGATTGGTCAGTGAGAAATCGAATGAAGTTCCACCCACAAAAGTGCAAAGCCCTCTCTGTGTCCCTGCAAAGAAACGTGCTGGATAACTTGCCATTCAATACCTTCTTTTATAAACTTTCTGGAAGTGATATTGACTTTGTGCCCTCTCAGTCAGATTTAGGAGTCGCAATAAACTCCAGGTTTAATTGGGGTGCACAATGTAAAGCGCTTGTTTCCAAAGCTACCTCTAGACTTGGACTACTTAAGAGAACATGTCATTTCACTACTGATAAAAGGCAGAAAAGATCGTTCTATTTAGCGTTAATTAGGTCTATATTTGAACATTGTTCTGTCATATGGTCCCCTCAATCTGCAACTCATCTTCAACAGTTTGTTGCTATCCAAAAGAGGGCTATTAAATGGATCAATGGTGAACCTTACTCCAGTTATAATGACGATAAACTTGCTACAGAGCAAAAGAAACTAAATATTCTCCCTGTTAAACAGAAGTTTATTTATAACGATCTCATGACCTTCTATAAAATAGTGAATAGCATAATTCCAGTTTCGCTCCCTACATATATAGTCCTATGCCGTCCAGAGGGCACCCGATACACTAGGCACAATGCTCAAATAATTGATATGTCGGATACTTCAACTTACATGAGTACCACTGTGCCCTGCTCGGATGCCTTCCGAAATAGCTTTTTTCATAGATCTATGCTGAAATGGAATAGTCTACCAGTATGTATACGGCAGTCAGAGCGGATTTCTACTTTTAAGGCCAAACTGATCAAGTACCTCTGGGCTGCCGATACAGTCTGGCCAGATTAGCTCATCAGTCTTATGAGTCTCAGAAATTTGTTTTTGTTGGTTACAATTCTGTCCGTCCAATTTCCTATCTGCTTGTCCTTTTCTTTTTCTTTATCAGTTGTGACGGAATTGTAATGAACAAAATCCTTATAATTATTTATGATATGTTTGATTTCTTGTTAATGTTTGTCATTCAAATTTGGTAGACGGCCCCAACGTTAATGTGGCTCTTGCTATGTGTTGGTTCAGCCGAATTAATTATTATATAATCAAGTTTATTTTTCTCGTTAGTTGTCATCCGGCCAAACATTAAGCAACTTATATTGCAGCACCATTTACCATTTAGTATATCAAAATATGTCATTGTAATTTTGCATGGCTGAAATGTAACGCTTGATTTATATATATAATGATTAATTAAATTTTCAAATAAAAAAAAAAAAAATAGTGGCGAAAGCCACGAAACAACTACAGCCGCGCACACGTACACGCGACTTACGTACCTGGGGACCTCAGCTAGGCTATCATGTTCATAATAGAGATTAGGCGGAGTGACAGGCTGAGCGCGGCCCAGTAAATAATATGAAAATCATTTTTGGCGGGTTATGAAGAAATAACTATTTTTATTAGACGCGCGCCGTGACAGGCCACAGGAGGGGATAAGTGCAAAGAAACTGCTGCTAACTGCTGCTCACTGCTACTAACTGCTGCTCACTGCTGCTCACTGCTGCTCACTGCTGCTCACTTGCACTGCTACTAACTGCAAGACAGCAGCAGTGAGCAGCAGTTAGTAGCAGCATGATCAGCAGCAGTGATGAGTGAGCAGCAGTGAGCAGCAGTGCAAGTAGCAGTGAGCAGCAGTTAGCAGCAGTTTTTTGCACTTAGCCCCGCCTGTGAGGCGTGCTTGTATGTCGTAAAACGGTATTTGCAATTTGAACTGTTCATGTTAATGCTTTAAGATTCGAATTAGTTTTGATTTTGAAGGTAACCGTGAAGATAAAGATAATATAAAGATTAATATTTAGATTTGTTTATGTAAATTTTGATATTGATTGACGATGTCAACCCATCGAGATCGTTGCTCTGTTTCGCAAAGTAAGGATCGACGATGCAAAGCAAGAATGATAGTTCGCGCGGCGCGTCGAAGCGGCGAAGTCTTCCAAATTTTGATATTTTACTGTAATATTTTATGTTGTACATAATTTTACGGACGAAATTATCCCAGGGGGGACTCCCAACCCACCGCTTCGGTGGGTAGTTGACGCACCTTTCACAAGCAAGAGCTCCTTTGGTCTACTTGTTGTGAGGTGTCTCAGCTACATGGGTTGGGGGTTGCTCTAACCAGAGCCCTCTCGCTCGCAGTAGCGCGCGACCGCCGAAGGCTTGTGAAACAAGCGCGTCACGCAGTACGTGTATACACATGGCTATGTGAAGGTTGGGGTCCCCCCTTTTTTTTTAAATATAAAGATTTGAAATACAAATTTGTGCACATTGACTTTAAATACTGACCATTCAAATCGAAATCAGCATTTACAA